AACATCATCTTGCATACCATATTTATCTCTTATCACGCAATTTCTCACCCTGTCATTCAGACTCAACCCTAGCATACTCCTTAAAGACCGCATTTCTACAGCATTTATTCTACTTTCGTGCTTTTTCTGCCACACAAAGCTTTCACTACCATACATTAAAGTAGGAACTAACACAGCATTATGAATTACCATACGTGCCTTTTTTGACACATTCTGATTCTTCATAATAAAGTGTAGTGACCCATTCACTCTATTCCCTGCATTTACTCGTACAAGTAACCATAGAAAATACGAATAGCGCATTTTTTTTTGTAAAGTGATAAATCACGTTTTGAATTTTTGCTCCTCAAGTAGTAATGGCATTAACATCATCAGAAACCAGACTAAATAAATAAATGACGAACGTATTGATTGTTCCCTCCTATTCTCCCTCAAGACATTTTCAATCATTCATTCTTTACAGCCTATCAAAAGTTCTTTGCTGAACATAGACTTCCCCCATATTTTGTCTTATGGAAGGGATATACGCCATAGTTACCATGCTTACTAGGTGGGTTGCCTACCACAGTATTTTATTACTTAGATTTGTTATCAGGAAGATGTTTTTGTTTATCTGTAATATCATTTTCCACTATCGTCTCTTTCGATACCCACGGGATATTTAAAGAGTAGTGGATTTTCTTACAGCGCAACTATAAGGAATTAGCATTAAATTATCTCATCATAGAAAATTAGTAGTAACTCCTATTTTATCGTAGAAGTTATTGAAGCTGTTGGAGAGAACGATGTAACAAAAGCTTTGATGGTGATCTTGTATCTGTTATGAATGATGATTTTGTATTATGATGAAGTTTTGTATTCGCTTAGAAACGCTATCGTCATCCATTGCCATCTGGGTTTAGATATTATTAAAATCTAAAAGTTTCACTATGTAACGCATCAACTTTAAATACAAAACAGATACGCATATACACCATTTATTAAAGCATAAGGAAAAAGAGGCTCGTAAAAGCAGGAGTCGTACTTCAACACACATCGCTACCTTACTCATGTTACCATCCATATCATTTGAATGATTTGGCAGTCCACTACTGTGCGATTCAGTAGGACTTTTCATCCACGTACGACTTTTTTGTGGAATTGTTTAGTACCGGCTGCGCTAGCTTTTCTAATTAGTTTGTAACTACCTGCCATTTTTCCGGACCGATATAATTTAGAGACATTTAAGAAACGAGCTTACTCATTTTTAAAAAGCCCGAAATGCACCCGAAATTCCCCTGGTGTTGCAGTTCTTCTCATGGGCCGCCGGCAGCACTTACCATCAGGAGATGCATCATCGTTTGCCCCCTCTAATATAAAAAAATAGATCCCCTGTACCCCTATTATACTACCCTGAGTCAGAATCCCTACGCGCTTAATCAGGGTGGTGTAATAAGAGTAAGACAGCAAGGGTCCCTAACCAGGGCGGCGAAAATTGTAGTTAATTTTTATTGTAGTAATAAATTGACATGAACGATTCGATAAAATTAAATGTGTAAAAATAAATAGTGTAAAACTTCCTAAAATAACATAACAATATGATGCTTGTTCATTACACTTCTTTTTTTCGTTTCTGTTCAAAATGATCATTTATTCCACATATATGTATGTATATACTTAAATGGTGATAAAAAAAGATTGAAAAAATCGATATATCGTACATAAGCTTCGATGTTTTTAATGAGTGACGTTGCATCCTATACATTATATGCATAATCGGAATAATTACGACTCCAGATAACTCAAGTTGAAATTTATACAACTCGAACTGAATTCCACTTACGCAACTAGAGTTAGCCGGACGAAACACGGTGAATGATTTGTTACGATTACGTTTTATAAATTTGTTTTTCTATCTAACTGTTTGGTGGGTTGGGTCAAATATCATTATTAAACTTAGAAGGTAGGATTGAAATAAAACTTATACAATCCTAACTTCTAAGTTTGTGATATTTAGTATGTATCATATATTTATGTATTTTTGGTTTTAATCCATTAGTAAGTACATATATTTAACAACAAAATTAGCTTTATAGCAGTATTCACAAAACAACATCAGTCTAGTTTTAAGATCTCGCTAAATAAGTTATTTAATAGTTCAAATATTCTTAAATAACTTAGCTATCATAAAATTCTAAATAACATGTTATTTTCATAGTAGCTAATACTCTTTGAAACACAAAGCGTGCTCTATTATCTTGATGTTAGTGCTGTTAGTCTATGCGACTCTTACAGCTTCATCTTGTCACAGGGCTAGCGGTCTGCTAGGCCGCGAGCTAATACAAAGCGGTGCACGCTTTGTGCGCACAAATACACGCACATAAAACTAGAAATCTTAAAGTCAAAAATAATCTTTGCCTAGCATATACACTGTGTCTTAAAACGGTATTTTGTTTTTCGATATAAGAAACTAAAATTAATAGCTCCTCTAACTCCTCCTCCCCTATTCTCAGTCTCAATCCGCATATTTGAGTGACTTTACCTAAGTTTTAAATAGTCTTTAAACCATATCTTTCGTCTCTTCCTCTTTTCTTTACTATTAATTGTCATGTTTTCTTCGTCTTCAAAACGTCCAGTTATAAAATTTTGGCCCTCATCCTACTACATCATACAATGAATACATGACGATATATCGATATTTATTACGCGATACGATACGCGTTTGAAGTGGATTTTAATTCATAAAAGTGATGTGATTTTGTGAATTAAGTGTCTGCGCATGTGAATTATTAGAGAAAACGACGAAAAAAGTGCTTTTATGTTGATGTAAACCTCAAATTAATTTGATCGCTTGGGCACCTTATGAACTTGAGTTGCTATCGTCATAAACAGTCCGCCGTGTTGAGCTGTCGTCAAAATCTCCCAAAAACTTCGCAATGTGACGCATCAGCATATTGTGAAGAAAAAATATATAAAATGAAGATTCTGAAAGAAATGATAGGCTCACAAGAGCTAGTACCCAGAGCCGTAAAGCCAGTTAAATAATAAAAAAAGATATAAAGTAATTTTTAGTTCCATGAATGTTAGAGGTAGTATTATTTATTGTGTGGTTAGAGCACAGGAGAATGATCGCTACGTACTAAAGCATAGTCCGCCTGTACTTGAAAATTGTAGAATTTATAGTGGCACTGACGTCGGTGAGTAGTGACTGCGAAGTTAGCTGTTTATGAGTACAATTAGATGAAGTTAGTAGAATAATGTACAGATTTTCTTTTCGGCATTGGTGAATATATTTTCATGCTCCGTATTTTTTTAATTTTTGTCAAAAAGAAACATTAAAAATGAGAGAAATATTTTATTGTGCGTGGATGTGCAAGTGGTTTGGCATCTGATCGGAAAAATAGACTGAAAATGACTTTTATTGTCCGAACTTAGCGATCGCAGCGCCTCACTTATGGTGTCCATATTTCTGGGAAACTATTTTCTACGGCGATCGTTCTTCTGTTCTCTAACCTCCATGGTTGGAGAACTAACTTCCATGCTGTATGTCATAAAGAAATGTCATTGTCAGTTTATCAATGTCATTATCAATGGGTGCGTTTGGCGGAAAAAAGCGCTAGCAAGCGCTTGTAAGCAAAATGGCGATCGTAAGCGGTAAGCGCTGTCAAATCGTAAGTAGCTATTTTCCTCCGGGACACGATGTTAGTTTTAACGGAGAACCTAACCTAATTTAAATATATGTTTGTAAAGTATTCATATTAAAAACTTACCAATCATGAATTTTTAATAACATATATATGTTTATTCATGTCAATATATTACTTAAAACTAATATTGCACAAAACAACTTATAAACTCTACTTCAAAACAAACAAATTAAATAAGCAAAATGGCGGAAAAAAGCGCTAGCAAGCGCTTACAAGCGCTGAAATAGTTTTCGGCCAGGACACGATTGCTACTTCAGTAGCGCTGACACAATCCGCCATTTTGCTTTTTTAAATTGTTTGTTTTGAAGTACAGTTTATAAGTTGTTTTGTGCAATAATAGTTTTAAGTAATATAATGAAATGAATAAACATATACATGTTATTAAAAATTAATGATTGGTAAGTTTTTAATATGAATACTTTACAAACATATATTTAAATTAAGTTAGGTTTACCGATTAAAACTAACATCGTGTCCTGGAGGAAAATAGCTACTTACGATTTAACAGCGATTACCGCTTACGATCGCCATTTTGCTTACAAGCGCTTGCTAGCGCTTTTTTCTGCCAAACGCACCAATTTTGCTACAAGCGCTTGCTAGCGCTTGTAAGCAAAATGGCGATCGTAAGCGGTAATCGCTGTTAAATCGTAAGTAGCTATTTTCCTCCAGGACACGATGTTAGTTTTAACCGGAGAACCTAACCTAATTTAAATATATGTTTGTAAAGTATTTATATTAAAAAACTTACCAATCATGAATTTTTAATAACATGTATATGTTTATTCATGTCAATATATTACTTAAAACTAATATTGCATAAAACAACTTAAAAACTCTACTTCAAAACAAACAAATTAAATAAGCAAAATGGCGTATTGTGTCAGCGCTACTGAAATAGCAATCGTGTCCTGGCCGAAAACTATTTCAGCGCTTGTAAGCGCTTGCTAGCGCTTTTTTCTGCCAAACGCACCCATTGTCAAGTGATCATGTCATTTTCTGGCACTGACTGACGTACGGACGGAACGGATGATCGATGATAAAAATAAAATATTGAGAATGCAATTTCTGTTCGGATAATAATATGATCATAGTTAATACATGAAATATGATTTACTTTAAATTCTATTCATTCTCTTAGTATAAATAGCATATGAATATTATTTACAAATACGTAAACTGACGTATTTAATTAAAATGAAAGTTTTAAATATTATCGGTTCAAGTATTTTTCAAATACTATCATTGATTTCTCTATTAGTATATTTTCTTGGTGTTTTAAACTTACATTTTAGTGACAAAAATGATTATTGTGTTATGACTTATATGTTTGAATATCCACAGTTTGTTGTAAGTAGCAGCATTTATGAAAGTCTTGTTTTAACTGTTAGAAAAAATATTTTTAATACTTTTTCTTGTAGCGAATCTCCTTGGATGAAAATAAATTAAATCCACAGTATGGGTTATATGCCTATAGTGAAGGCAGATTTACCGAAAAAGCAAGAAAAATGTGGTGTGTATACTTTCATAATTTTTTCATGTATTCACTGAGTTAACATGAACATAACATTAGTTCTTTGCAAGTCCTTTGTGGAACATAAGCCTGTAAATAGACTGCCATAAATTAGGATCCTGAGCTACCCATATCCATCAGCTTTGTAGATTTGAGTGGGGGGTTGCCCAACACTGCAAGTTAAAGCTGCTACTCAAAAACTTCTTACCTATACTAACTACTTCAGTTCTTTATCAGCTCTTCAAGCTAAACATCTTACTCATTGCCACTTCAGCCTATTGATCTGGAGGGCTATATTTGGTCACTCTTGTTCAGCCTGTTAAGGAATGGATAAATACAAATGTTGAGATTTTACTATGCAGAGAAAACCAAAGCCCTTTCCTTAGTTTGGTGAGGAACTTTGAGCTTTCATATATGATTAATAGTGGAAAATCATGTCTTAGTTCCATAAGTACATCTTGACATTACAGACTGGTTAAAGGAAACATTATATTACGAATTATATGTAGAATTATTGTTTAGGAGTTTTATTACAAATCTTTTTTCACACAGTTTCAACAGCTGAACAGCTGTAAAATGAAACTAAATAAGCAAATTTCTTAAAACACATTTTGGAGAGTGTGCACATGAATTGTATCACTTAATTTCTTTATCCTTCCACCTTCAGACAACCAGACACTCAGCTAGTCTCTACCCTATGTCATGGACACACAATGTTTTTGGTACCAAACAATTTTCTTTATTGATTGTAAAAGAAATATATCTCATATAAAATATAAATTGATATTTTTTTATAAAATAAGAGTAACAAACAAGCACATAGTCCACCTGGTGGTAAGTGGACGCTGTGACTCATAGACATCTACATCAATCCTTGATTAAAAAGCAAAATGCAGGTGTGTTGCCACCCCCGAGGACTAATATAGAAACAGAAACTTTTTTATTCAATGTAGATTATAACAATACTTATTGAAAGTCACTTTTTTCATTTACCACTGGTTCGCAAAAAAAACCTCTGTCCTGGGAAGAACCAGCAAGAAACCCACTGTTTTTTTCCAATAATAGCTTGCAATCATGTTTACAATTAATGTTTACAATTAACACAAGACAAATTAGAAATAGCTTGGTAGCGATCACCCTTCCCAGGGGTTATTATCATCAATATGATCAATATTATAATAACTCTTTTTATACAAACTTAGTTTAATAACATTATTGAACTTTGTGTATGACAAATTTTGTATATTTTCTGGGATTTTGTTGTAAAAGCGTATACATAGAATGCCATGTTTCCAGTAGAAAAGGGCTTTGGTTCTCTAAACTCACCATAAGAAACACAGCAGTATTGAGTTGCTATTTTAGGCTGGTATTCTGTGATAAATACAATTCAGTTCAAATCATGTATGCACAATTCTACATTTTTAAATTTCACTTTATAATAATTCTGGCTTTATCTGAAATTACAAAAAAAGGTTTTTCAGGTTTGATGGTATACCTGTGCTTTTTGTTCCTGGAAATTCTGGCAGTCACATGCAAGCACGGTCTTTAGCTTCTGTAGCACTTCGAAAAGCTTTAGCTAAAGGCTATGAATATCATTTTGACTTTTTTACAAGTAAGTTAAGAAAAATATATAGGTAAGGTCTGTTTTTACAAGTAAGTTAAGAATATAATAATATATATAGGTAAGGTCTGTTTTTACAAGTAAGTTAAGAATATAATAATATATATAGGTAAGGGCTGTTTTAAAAAGTTGGTACATGACTTTTTTTGAAATTAAAAAATATTGGACAGTAAGAATTATTATATACAATTGCACCTGCCACGAAATTTCATCACTCCAGGGGTTGACTAGCATGGAATGCCGATAGGCATTAAGTCCACCCTTTGGTACCCTACTACTTAAGGTTCTAACAATAAAGATTACAAAAATTAATAAATAAAGAGATATTTAATAGCACAATAATCTTTAATTTAGTATTTATTTATGAATCAATGCATTTATTCTCTCTTCACAATAGGTATTCTTAATGATATGTATTACAAAAGTGCCAGACAGGTAACTAAGTTGTGAGAGACTGGTGCCTGATATAGGTATAAAAAACCTGTATTACAGGTCACCAGGGCCAGTATTTGTAATATACATGAGTATATTATGTTTCATAAAATAACATATACTAGCAATCTGCCCCGGCTTTGCACTGTTGATTTCTGGATTTTGACAACATCGCCATTTATCGGGTTCAAATGTGATAAACCATTTAGGGACCCATTCAAATGCACACAAAAATTTCATCAAAAGCAGTTGGATGGTTTCAAAGTCAGCAACAGACATGAGTTTTTACATCTTACATGTTTTATATAGAAAGATAGATTAAAATTATATGTTCAGATGCTAAATCATAATCTTATTATGGATATACAAAAGCTTACTTTCAATATTTAATTTCTTTTTTAGTAAGTTATAATGAGGAGCTATCTGGACTGTATGGAGGCGTCCTTCAAAGTCAAACTGACTTTGCAGCTGCTTGTGTTTCAAAGATTCTAAGTTTGTATAAAAGTAATAGGTACACGAAGTCTGTACCTACATCTGTTATTCTCATTGGACATTCTATGGTAAGTCTAAGTTGCAAAAAGCAGTAATTTGAAAGTGTGCTATTTTGAAAGTTTATTTTGCTAATATAATATCCATAGTACTAACTACCTCATTGGTCTATAAGCATGACTGCTGAACATGTGGTCCTATGTCAGATCATGTGGTCTTAAGTCAGATCAGTTGGTGGTGTTTCACCCTCACGCCTCTGAAAGCACGTACGACCGTTGGTCCTACACCTGATAACTTTCCGGTTGTGTCATGTAGCCACACATATAAACAAAATGTATTGTTTATATGAAAAATAAACCTTAAAACTTAGTGGCACCCTGCATGCTTCGCTTGAGGTTCTAGGGTTTTTTGTCTATATAGACAAATATAATCTTCTTAACTTAGAAGATGGCGCATCATCACCCATACAGGTTTTTTCACTCATACCAAAGGCATGAGTTTTGTTTTAACTTTATGTAGATTTTCTGGGCAATTATGAGGGTACCACATTTATGGTGACTTAACCTTTAATTCATCCCACTCCTTTCCACCATCGGACGACCAGGCGGTCGGCGGGTCTTCACCTCTCTGTTGTCGATATTCCACGCATTAGAACCAAACGGTTTTCTTCGACTTTTTTAATGCGTGCAGCAAAGGAGTGGAATAATTTGCCGGCATCTATCTTTCCATCCGAATACAATGTGCAAGCAAGAGTGAATAGGCTTTTGTTATGCTAAGACTACCATCAGATTTACCATCTAAAGCTGCATCAGCACTTACCACCAGGTGGGATTGTTGTCAAACACTGGCTTATAAAGAATAAAAAAGGAACAAACAGAAAAAGGCTATAAATACAACAGACAATTTTTAGTACAGCTCTGTTATATTTTTATAATTTTTAGGGTGGTGTAATAACAAAGCGCCTCCTTGCATACTATGCTACAAGAAATTCAACTGATATTGCAATAACATTGGCAGCGCCGTTAGAAGCTCCAGTTATTAATTTTGATGTGGCAATGAACAATTACTACATGATTATGGACATGGAATGGGAACTGTTCATCAATCAAAATCAAGAGATTAAAAACAAAAAGATGTTGATTAGTTTTGGGAGTGGGCCAAGAGATCTTCTCATTCCAGCTGGTCTTACTTCTACAAATGATAGTTTTATTAGTGTTTTGGTAAGTCAACTCAATTAATCAGTTATGAAATATTTGATTTATCTTTGTCTTTTAATGCTACCAAACATATATTGAGACCAGCAAGTACACTATTTTAAATTCGTAAATATAATGGCATATTTATATTATTTATCATACTTTTTATATATTGTAATATTTAATAAATACCATATGGCCTAGTGGTTAGAGCAACAGGCCAATTGCTTTTAAAGTAAAGTAAAGTTACAGCCCATATATGTCCCACTGCTGGGCACAGGCCTCCCCTCATTTCTGAGAGGGTTTTAGGTAGTGTCCGCCGCGCTTTCTAAATGCGTGTTGGCGAACTTCACATGTCTTCGAAATATTTTTTTTATTATTCTTCAGACATGCAGGTTTCCTCACGATGTTTTCCTTCACCGCCGAGTACATGGCATATCAGCACTTTAAATTGCAATTAACAATTTCATTGGTGCCGGCGGGAATCGAACCCGGGTTACTCGCGTTCTGTTATATTTACAGCGAGCGTTAACCATCTGAGCTACCACGGCACTTGCAATACACGGCGATTGCTTTTAACAGGGTTTAACCCATAACCCGCGGGCATAGCAATTTAGAAAACAAAGCGGAAGCCTATATTTTGGATAAATACAAATTGTTGATTTTTTCTGGATGTCCTGTGATTGTTTCGGTGTCTGAAACTATCCAAGTCTAGCAATTTCCGATCTTATGGCATAAGCATTACACACATTGGATAAAGATGTCTATGGAAGAATAAGTATTACTGTGTTTTCGCGTTTATTTGTGGTATTATTAAATTATTATGTAACAAATAACCTCCAAAATATTCGAAAGAGGTCATTTCATTTATGACGGCATCAATATTTTTGCATATCAAATCAACAAAGAGAAAAACATGGAGTGCTGCGTGTATTTCAAGTGACTCAAAAACCAAGCCTAAACCCTGTTCAACACTCACCTACACATAGGAATCTAAAATTCTTCGTAACCAACAATATGATTTTAATTGCATAAGTGTGCATATGTACAGCAGTAAACTTTTACCTGCTGATAAATGTAGAAAAAAGAAGTGTGCATGTATCAAGAAGTTTTTTTTATAGGATAGGATGACAAACGAACACACAGTCCACCTGATGGTTGCTGCGGCCCATTGACATCTACATCTATCCTCGATTACAAATCAAAATTCAGATGCGTTGTCATCCTGAGGACTTAGGTGGAATGCCTCATTTCCGTGGCGTGTTTCACCCACGTGCCTCGGAAAGCACGTAAAGCCTTTGATCCTGCACCTGATCTCTCTCTGGTCGTGTCAAATTACCGTCCCATCGGACTATGGGAGGGAATAGAGAGTGCACCTGTGCTTGCGCATACACTTGGGCACTGTAATCCTGTCCAGCGTACATGGCTAGTCTCTGTTAAGACTGGCCGCCGTGGCCGAAATTCTGAAGGACATTAACCACACATACCGACGGCGAAAAATGGTAGTGTGAAAAGTCTGGTACTGTGATAAGTAGTCCGTTTGCCAAGTGTAACAATTAAGGCAAATCCTTTTTACAATGGGAAAGACACATGGACATCCAGCAGTGAATTTTTAACCCCTGATGATGATGATGATGATGAAGAAATGATTGGTTTCCAGGCCATTATTATTCAGAAAAGTACTCATTTTCTGTGCCAAAAGGCATTCTCTCCCAATCAACCATTAGTCCAAACAGGGATAAAAAAGGGGGATTGGTAATTGCATAAAGGTATTTAAATATGGACTGGAGGACATAGCATTATACCTACATGCATCATAGAAATTATTATGTTTATAATTAACTGGTATTTAAATACTTTATCTGTACAAAATGTTAATATCATTTAACACAGACCACTGCAGTACCCGGGGTATGGGTGTCGCCTGACCACGTAAGCATGGTGTGGTGCAAACAGCTGGTGATGGCAGTAAACCGTTACCTATTTGATATTGTTAATATGCAAACTGAGCAGATATCCAATAATAGAGCTCTGTTGACGAGTAAAGCTCGACAATATTTTCAGGTAATGTATTTTCTTAGTTGTAAGTAATACAATTTAATGCTAGTTAGTTTTCCTTTTATCACTAAATTTAAATATCTGTGCTAGTAAGTTGATTCAGGAGTTGAGACAGTAGTTAAATATTGGATTAGAGCCTATGAACTTTAAATTCACATATAGTTTCCTAAACAAGGGTTCATCAAACTCCGCCTACGAACAAAATCTGTTCCGAAAGCACAATCATTTTGGCTTGTATAAGCGAACCGCATAATGCGCGATGTTGGTGACGATTTTTTAATGTAATCGAAAAAGATCATCAACTCTCAAGCGTAATATTATTTAGAACTAATAGACTAGCAGTTCTTAAACTCGGTTCGCGACTCTAATTTAAAGTCGCAGCGAATACTTAAGTGCGTCGCAAGAGCGTCTCTAGTCTCCACACTATCGTCTTTCAAACCAAAATCATTTTGTTCCTTAGTGTTAGCTTGTCGGCTTTTACTGCGTAAATCGGACACGGAAGTCCTTAGCGGAAAATTTTTCTTATATTACATTGTTTTCGTGAGCATAGGTCTTTTAGAATGGAAAACATATATGTAATATCAACATCGTCATCATCTCCATCGTCATTGCTTTCTCCCTGGATCTGCCAAATCATTAATTGCTACCAATTTACGAAAACTGCTGTGCTTGGCGTATTATCCATTCAGAGTTCTAGTTATTTTACATCTTTTATACTAGTTGCCGTCGCTGATTTACCCTATTAGTATATTATCCTCTTATTACCGACTGCCTCGTTGGTCTAGTGGTTGTAGTAGTGCGACTGCTGATCATGTAGTCCTGGGTTCGAATCCCGGGTCGGGCCAAAAAATTAACTATTGAATTTTTCCGTCAAGTAATTCTCAGTAGCTGCCCGGAGTCAGGAAATTGGCGGTGTCTCACCTCCGTGCCTCGGAAAGCACGTAAAGCCGTTGGTCCTGCGCCTGATCTCTCTCGTGTCGGTTTACCGTCCGATCGGATTATGAGAGTGAGGGAATAGAGAGTGCACCTGTGCTTGCGCATACACTTGGGCACTATAATCCTGTCCTGCGTTGATGGTTAGCCTCCGTTGAGGCAGGCCGCCGTGCCCGAAATTCGGTCTGGTGGACATTATATTACTCTCCTGTACCGATAGATATCGTATAGTGACGGCGCAAGAGAAACCATCATCTCGTATCCTTCCGTGTGTGTTATAAGAGTCGATTATAGGAAAAACCAGAAAGATTTTATTAAGCTATTGCATAGCTTCTATCGCGGGCCTTGAGCGCGGGGACCGAATCCAGAAATTCCGTAACGAAAAAAACCTCACGCTCCCCACTCCGACGGGCACGGAGGTGTGGCGTTGAAAGCCGTGCATCGTCTAACGTCGTTTCAGTTCGGCAGACTTCGGCACGGTGTTTGTGTGCGTGTGACTAGACGTATGCGTGTACACTAGCTGCTAACTCAATGATAAAAATTCCTGAATAACCTACATGTATTGTAAGATATTAAAAATATTTCAAACAATATTAACTTCTCATTAATTCAATAAGAGAAAAAAAAATGTTTTCTTATCGGTCACCACGCTCAAAAAGTGTAACTTGATTTAATATCAAAGACTTAACTGCGTAAATAAAATAAACAAATAATTATAATTGCGTAAGTTGATAAAAAATGCTATGCAATAGCTTTACCGCGGCAGTCACCGAGTGCCACACTATTTTATTTCGATAGACGGCGGTGTAAATATCCAGACTGGTAATGGTGGGGTCAAACATGTAAGAAATTGTTAAGTACAATTGTCAATCTACCTGCTAAGCCCAATTGTTATGGCTAACGTTGTTTACTGCGGTATAGACCCATGTCCAACTCCGGCAGTAAAGGTGAAATATGTAATAAAGATACATAGATAGTACTCGTACTAGTACTAAGTCCAAGGTCAAAATGATACGAAATGATTTGTTTCAGGCGAACCGTTCGATGACTCTGAGTCCTCATAAAGCGCGCCCCGATGTAACTCTGCAAGGCGACGCATTTTGGTATGAAGATAATCGAAGAATCTATCAAATAAATAGACCCGATATTGACAGGTGTGTTAATTTAACATCAATGAAGCTTTTGTGAGTCAAAGTCAGAACTACAGTCTAAAACTGTTTTATTTATTTGTTTTAACCTCTAGTCTGTCATCGCGACCCAATGTACTGGAGCCTTTTTTTATTACTTATCTTCACGCACAATCCCTAACGGGGTAGCCAGAGAGAACAGATCGCCAAGTGCCACGATCCTTACATACTTCTTTCGCTTCTTTCAGGTTCATTATCTTCTTCATACATGCACGTCTAGTTATCCGAGTACTCTTGAACTTCCCCTCTTCGAGTAATTTGCTCACATGGTCTTCGAAAGTTAGTCTCGGTCTACCTCGACACCTTTTAATATTTACTTTCGCGCTATATATTTTCTTCACCATTCGGTCTTCACTCATTCGCTCAACGTGCCCAAACCATCGGAGTACGCCCTTATCAATTTTTGTGATAAGGTCATCTTTCAATCCTGCCATATTGGGAATCTCTTCGTTTCGCTTTCGGTCGGCTATGGTAACGCCGCACATTTTACGAAGAGATCGCATCTCCACTGCATTAACCTTGCTTTTATGCTTCTTCTGGCATACCCAGGTTTCGCTGCCATATAACAAAGTCGGTACCAACACTGCGTTATGTATTGCATGGCTTGCACTCTTCACTACGCCTTGCCTTTTGACTAACGCATTCAGGGCACCATTGACTTTGTTCCCGGCAGCGACACGCCTGTCCACATCTAAATCATCCATCCCGGCTGAAAGCACTCCCCAAGTATACAACTTTTTTATTAAATAAATATATATGTATTTTTTTGTACATACATGATGCTCTCAAAATTCAATAACGACAGAAGTGCGAAAATATTAGATATATAATGGTCTCCTTGAAAAGGTCGCGTAGTGACTTGCTGCATTACAAGTTATAAACTGCCCATATTGCACATTTTTTTAAATAGAATAAGAGTGATATACGAGCACACAGTCCACCTAATGGTAAGTGTATACTGTGACCCACTGACATCTACATTTATCCTTAAATAAGAATTAAAATGCAAATGCGTTGTCACCCCTGACGACTAAGATGGAATGCCTCTATCTCGTAAATAGGGTCTCCGGTTCTCTACATCCACTTACGCTGTTATTCTGTGAGAGCGTGGTCCTTCCCCGGTCAAGCCGACTCATTCATGCCACAACTGTAATATAACTGCGGTGTTGCTCTACCATGTAAAAATAATATCGTTGTCAATCCAACTATAGATCCTGCAGTAATACACCATAATACATGATACTGTGGAAATATATACCACCAATAGTGGAAGCTATTTCCACAGTAATATATATATACAGTACAGTATGGTCTGTATTTTTTTTATTTTTCAATGTAAGTTAAAATCGGGAACAAGCTAACATTCGACCTGATGGCAAGTCGAACAGTTATGGCGATGACAGACTTAATCATACTGGCTCCCTATACACTTCAAACTCAAAAGCAACGGTAGATACAGTACTGCTTGACGACAGAAATAATTAACCGTTTATACCAAAGAGGCGATATAAGTACCTACTTATACTGCCTCTTCTCTATAAAAGCCTACCTAGTATTTTTAGTCTCGGTCTACCTCGACACCTTTTAATATTTACTTTCGCTCTATATATTTTCTTCACCATTCGGTCTTCACTCAATCGTTCAACGTGCCCAAACCATTGGAGTACGCCCCTATCAATTTTTGTGATAAGGTCATCTTTCAATCCTGCCATATTGCGAATCTCTTCGTTTCGCTTTCGGTCGGCTAAGGTAACGCCACACATTTTACGAAGAGATCGCATCTTCACTGCATTCAACTTGCTTTTATGCTTCTTCTGGCATACCCAGGTTTCGCTGCCATGTAACAAAGTCGGTACCAACACTGCATTATGTATTGCAAGGCGTGCACTCTTCACCACGCCTTGCCTTTTTACTAATGCATTCAGGGCACCATTGACTTTGTTTCCGGCAGCTACACGCCTATCCACATCTAAATCACATCTTCCATCCCGGCTGAAAGCACTCCCCAAGTATACAATTTCATTTACCTGTTCTAGACATTCCTGATTTACCCATATTTCACATTTCGTTCTCTCTTCGTCCTTTTCAAATACCAGAACCTAAGTTTTATTAGCATTCAAACGGAGACCTTTAATTTCACATTCCTCTTTCATACACGTGACTAATGCCTGCAGTTCTGCAATAAGCACTGCATCATCAGCATACAGCAGACAATTAACTTTAATGTCACCCAATTTCACACCCAAACAGCTATTTTTCAGCTTCTGTAAACAGCTGTCGAGATACAGTATGAACAGCCAGGAAGACATGACACAACCCTGTTTTACGCCCGCTTGAACGCTAAACATAACTTTCGAAGACCATGTGAGCAAATTGCTCGAAGAGGGGAGGGTCAAGAGTACTCGGATACCTAGAAGTGCATATATGAAGAAGTTAATGAACCTGAAAGAAGCGAAAGAGGTATGTAAGGATTGTGACACTTGGCGATCTGTTCTCTCTGGCTACCCCGTTAGGAATTGTGCGTGAAGAAAAGTAAAAGTAAAGTAAGTAAGTAGTATTTTTAAATGTACCTATTAAGTTTTCTCACGATATATTTCTTCACTTTCGGGCAACATTAAGTAGTAAACCAAGACCTAAAATTTTAATAATAATTTTAGTGGTGTTGGTTGAAAATCCGTGCAGAACGCTGACCCTAATTTTTACTGTCTGAACTCACCACATGTACCTTGTATATGCCCAACGGAGAAAGTATGGACAAAACTTTAAAGAAACATTTTATTTAATTATATACCTATGTCTGGTTTTTATGACGCTGGATTATTCATCATTTGGATTAAGAGCTGATGACGCCAGTGCTAGCGGTTGCGTTAGCAGCGGCGCAAATAACAATTACGCTTCAAGTAGCTAACACATGTACTTTGGCATATTTCCAGAGTTATTTACGAACTATTTCAATGTCTTGCCTCACTTTACTATATCATCTTTAAAACGAAATATCCAATGAAAATAATTATGTATGAATAGAACAAATTAAGCACTTAATAACATAAGTGTTAAAGCGTGTAATGACCACGAAAAGTAGCAAAACATTTTTTCAAAGAGACTATATTATTTTGAGAGAAATATCGCGCGACTTCAGATAAATGACGGTAGAACAATTTCGTATATAATATGTGAGATGTAAAACGCGTGACGTTTGATACTGCGTTCGTCAACTTTCTACCAAGCGTGACAATTGTAGTAAAAGAAACGAACAGAAACCAAAACTTTTTTATTCTATATAGATTTTATGTATAGGTTAATAATACTTGTTGAAAGTCGCTCTTTCTTATCTTGTTTAATTTACCACTGATTCGGAAAAAAATCACCTCATTCCCAGGGACTATTATCATTCATAAATTCCTCAATATTATAATAACTCTTTATACACAATCTTAGTTTAATAAAGTTTTTGAACTTTGAGCAGGTCAATTTTTTGTAAATAATCCGAGATTTTGTTGTAAAAGCGTTTACATCGCTCCAAGAATGAATTACTGACTCGGTGGAGTCAAGTAACTGGTACTACTAGCTTGTGTCTGTGCCTTGTATTCGGTCTTTATCTATGAAATTGCCGTTATTTATGAAACAAGTTAACGTAATATTTTTTCTATGTTTTTTATTTCTATTGATCAAAGTATACACCCATGCAATCGGTGCAGTTTATTGATATCCTTCTTGAAAAAATCAGCTGGACTGTAGGCAACAAATTCTTCAAAGGCATTTTGTACTGCTTTTGGATATTTTTTCCCGCCAAAAAGATATCCAATGAAAAGCGGTCTGTAGGGGCTAGATCTGGCGAGGACGGCGAATGACGGAGGGTTTCCAACCCCAGCTCTTGTAATTTGGAGACTGTCTGTTGTGCAGTATGAAGTCGCACGTTGTCGTGCAGAAGCAGCGGGGACGAGCGAATGACCAAAGCTAGTTGGAGACGTGCGAGCTTCTTCATCATTGTGTTCAATTCTTCACAGTACACATCTGCAGTAATGCTCATCCCGTTTGGTAAGAATTTGTGATGAATCACACTGGCGGTAGACCACTAAACAGTGACAGATAAATTTTCGTTTAGGGCATTGTTTAGACTCTGAACCAGGATCCAACCAGCTTCTTGCTGAGCGCTTGCGATTGTCAAACAGAATCCATTTTTCGTCGTAGGTAACAATGCGGTTCAAAATTATTTCGTTTGTGTTTTGAGCAGTGCATCTCGACGCGTATTTCGCGCTGGTGATCATTGAGTTCGTAGGGCACCCATTTGTCAAACTATTGGCAAGGTTTAGTGTAAAAGAGAGGCAGAGTTTTTTAATGTAGTTCCAGTTTATTTTTAAATAGGCCTTATCGAGCTTTATGGTTGGGTTAACTTTGGCCTTGCTACGAATGATAGTTCTCGAAAGATATCAAAGCCACGGATAGCCATGTGTAATAACTGCGCCCAATAAATGCGCCAAAACTTGTAATACATACTTTTCGGTAGAGTATTTTTTTTCCACAGTGGAGTCCGAAGTAAATAAAAAGTTACGATTTAGAAAAAATCGTAAAACTTAACATATTATCTTTAACACACCCAATAAACAACCATAAATAGCATATCTAACGCAAGGACTCATCGGTACCAATCTAGTGAAAATTATAAAAAAGGTACGGGTACCTTGCCAATTCAATGACACAAATGATCAATATTGTTTTGATGTTAACGTTGAAAGCTGTTGCTAATTCAGCCGTAGCTTGAGTATCATCAGCTTCCACATTCGCCTTTAATTCGTCATTGTCGACCAAAGTTTTCGGACGACCACGGGGTTAATTTTTCAGGTTGAAATTTCCTGAACGGAAGCGGGTAAACCAATAACAGGTGGTGCGTATTCGCGTATATTGAAAGTATACAACAACTGTACGCACAGGTCGGGACCGATCGCGTATAGTTTCAATTTGTTATAAGCATAACTATTTTTAAAAACTATACATTGTTATTTCGCTTTTGTCGCGTATACTTTCCAATAAGGTACGCTTAAACTTTGAGCGAAAAACATACTGTCCTAGTTAAAAAGATACATCGAGCATAAACGCGATAGAGTGTATGTTATTAATGTATGTAGATAATATTTGTATGTTATACAAAATAACAATAATATTATAATTAAACTTATAATTACGTCCCGTTCGCCTGACAATTCTTTGATAAAAATAAAAATATAAAAGAAAATGTACTATGTAGATTATATAACATATATTGACTAATATTGACTCTTGAAGTTACTTCTGTAACAAGTTCGGTTCGGTGCTGTGGGAAGTGCAGCCCCTTCGCCTTTGCGTAGCAAATTGCAGGTACTCGTGCGAGCCGTAGCGGCTGAGGCTGGTCGCTGAAGGCCACTAATAAGCCGAAGCTACGGAGCCGGTGGCTGCTCTCCCTCCGCGCCTACGGATTTACAAAAACACTCTAAGGGTAGGGCAGACAAGAATACGTGGAGTCGGGGCATGCTGATTCAGTTTTAGAATCTTTCGAAATGATTCGAACAATCATCTAGGTAATTAGCGGTGTTTTCGCGATTACGAAAATTCGGTTTATCTTATTATTATTCTACGACATATGTATATGCCGTAAAAAAAGTATGTGTCAAATTGACAATTAATTGTATTTCTTGTTGAAGGTAAATGAAGATAAATAAGATTTAAGTATAGTATAATAAAAATACTACTTTTACAATTAAAATAATTTTGTCTCTCATAAAATACTTCATTGTTTTAACAGTTACCTTTAAATTGCCATAAAGTAATAACTACATAATAAGTTGATAACTTATTGTTGCATATTTTTAATACAATGACATTTACTTGGTAAATTTCTGAGCTTGTATACTTTACTTTCCTTGTTACGCGTTTACATCCTAAATGTATACAATGTCAGAACATGTCGGTTCTAGCCTTGTATAATCTCTTAACTAATTTACTGAATCAGCGTTAGAAAGTATACGCGACTAGTACACGGAAATCGTGTATATTTTCTGAAAACACAGTGTAAGAACACTATGAATGCGTGCTGTCCTTGTATACTTTCAATATACTCTGCGTATTCACTCCGCAAACATCGTTGATGCTGCGTGCCGCTTTTGCCTCGTTGCCGCCACGACGGTAGGTACTCATAATCCATAATTACTCGATTTTTTAATGTATCCATAATGACGAATAAGATTCAAATGTGATGAAAACATAACGCTAATCAGTAAACAAATGTCAATTTTGGAAAAAGAATTCCATGTTTTTAAAATAAAATTAATTAGAAATTAGAATTCTTAGCCAAACAAAAAAAAAAATTTATTTGAAATGGCCAGTACTGCAGAACGGCAATTTCATAGGTAAAAACCTATTATTTACAGAATGAATATCATATATTTTAGTAAGGAAACTCTACAACATTGGGGCTGGTTCATGTCCAATAGTAGACTGCTATGGTCTAATGACCAAGAAAAATAGAATTGGTACTCGAAAATCTTTTTTCCATCATCGCTTCTCAGTTCCCACCAAAGTGAAGAAAAGTACAGAATTCATTACAGTATTTTTATGCTAAAAATAATCAATATGGTAATTAGAGACGAACATACACTCAAATTGTACAAATCACTGGAAGGTTCGTAGGGATCTGGAAACCAGTTGTATTTTAGGGCAGTGGGCCGGCGAGAATCGAGAACATAGGCGTACAGAAAAAGCGGTCGCCTCGAAGCTGTAGGCTTCAAAATAATTTACCAAGTAATAAGCACTAACTTACCGAGTGATCTCAGTAGGTCACATCCGAAGTTTTCAAGTTGTTATACTTCTTCTATGAACCCGGGTGGTTCCTCTATCTTATCCAAATTAAAATTTCAGTCGGGAATGTAGAGAAATAGAATATAATTTATTGCGTCAAACATACTTAATGGATTTATTTAAGGTCTATGAATTAGTAGGCTCAGGCAGACGTTTTGTCCATTCGTTAAATAGTTGTTGATATCTCGCTCTTACACCAATTTTTATAATACTGCTGTCTGTAGTGTTTTAGGTGTTACAAAATTTTATGACTTTATCCTTAAAATATCCCTTTTGTATCTCGAATCTACTCAACCACTCACCGAGTCTCCTCATGAGCGTTGTTAATATGTAGTATTGTAATGATACTTAAATTTAATATTTCATGGAGATAAACGATTATTGATAGTCATCCAAACAAGATCGTTTCTAATGCGGCTGTGGAGTATTTGTGACTATATTTGGCAACACTGCTTATGTAATGAGATGGGGCTTCAAACGGTCATAAAAAGTAACAACCTGTACACTCTCAATGAGATTTCAGAGAGGGTCTTGAAACAAGGAAAACTTCACCGCGCTGCACCAAAATATGTTAATATACTTCAAATCTCTTTCTAGTCTTCGAAATTTTCAATTTTTTAAAATTATGTTATCATGATGTTCTCCACCACACAACACATGCATATTTATCTTATATAATAATTTCATTGGTGTTGGCGGTGAACGAGCAGGCCTTGAAGAAACAAATATATTTTATAATTTTACTATGTTTCAGAACAACTTTTTTGATGATAAGATTGGTCAGCTTCCCCCAGAACCGGTTTGTGGCCGTGGAGTCGGTAAATGTCGACGACAAGGACTGGATTTTTGGTTGCAATGCCAAATACACACACAGCACGTATAGACATTGGTATGTGTAAGCAAAACATGTTTTACTATCAATACTTACTTATAACAATCAAATGTAACTTTCCAATGATACCAGAGATTCAGAAAAATTCGATTAGATCTAAATAACCAGTTCATATATACTATATTTAAAATACCCTAATCGACAATGGAACAGCATCAAAGGTGTGATACGTCTGGTAATGGAATGCCAATCTGTTTAAAGTCGTGAAAATTACGACAATTTCTAACAAAGGATAAGCATATATGTCTATGTTTTAGATATGTATTTGTGTTCCTGATTGCAGAATATGCCAAACTTCTATCTACATGTCTAACTCATCTGCATGTTTTATTTTATTCATTAATTTAACTTCATATACACATTAAATGTATATCGGCGGACTTAATGCTTGAGGCATTACTTACCGGTCTACCTTAGAGTCGTGCAGAGATAAAAGAGGTAGGTGTCATAAGAAGTACAGATATACATGTATATATACTTATATATATATTAAATACAATATTATTAAATACGGCTAACTATGAACTATGATTTACTTATGTAGGTATATTATGCTGCATATTACCAAAATTTTATAGATTAATAGAATGGAATAACTTTTTATTTAATATCGTAGATTATTACATAATACTTATTGAATGTCATTTTTATATTTACCACTGGTTTGGATAATACCTTTGTATGGGAAGAACCAGCAAGAAACCCAACGGGACTTTTTTAAACATATTTCACTTTACAATAGTTTGGTTTGTACACATTTTAAATGAATTTTAATAGAACCAGCAACGTGGCGATCACCTCATTCCCAGAGGTTATATTCGATAATGTTATCTTTTTCATATTATAATAACCGTTTTTGTACAATTTTTTTTAATAAAACATTTAAACTTGTTCATTGTCAAATTTTGTACATTTTCTGGGATTTTGTTGTAAAAGAGTAACCCATAGACATCTACATCTATCCTTGAATAAAAATCAAAATGTAATGCGTTGTCACTATGCGTTGTGGACTAAGATCGATGCCTCGTATCCAGTAAAAAAGATCTCCATTTCTCTACACTCTTCATGCGAAACACCGCAGCAATTAGCTGCTATTTTACCCTGGTATCCTGTGAGAGGGTGGTCCTTCCCCGGTCAAGCAGACCTATTCGTGCTACAACTATAATTTAACTACAATATGGCTCTAACACTGTTGTTGGACTTAATGTCCTTTGCCATTCTCTACCAGTCAACCCTGTGCATCAAAAACTAGCATTTTGCTTACGTATTTGTATTTTGCAGTAAAGAAGCCAAACCTTTGTCAGAGTTAAGTCGCTGGAGTGGTGCAGCAAATGATTTTGGACGCAGAAAACTTGCAACTGTCCACCTTCACAATTTGATGGATGAATACCCGGAATGGACGCATGTTGTTGTCAAAGTGTCACCAACTAAAAAACCGGTAATATATTGTGTTTTTATGCATTTTCTCTCTTTTTCCTTTACTTTTTCTGTTCTTTAAGTAATATTCTTATAACAATAAGCGCTTTGATAGTATACTGTTAGAAATTAATCTCAAAATTATTTAAAACTAGCTGTTATTCGCGGCTTCACCCGCATGGTCACTGGGAAATGAACTATCCATTGCTTTTTGAATTGAAAGAAAACTGAGTTTTATAGATTTGTCAGAGATGCAGCCATTAAAAGGAAACTGAGCAAAATTGATTCCTCAGCCTATTTAAATGTTTTGAAACGCAGCGTATAGGAAAGCATGAAAATAGCCTGTTTATTCCAAATGGAAATGGGATATTTTTTTAATTAAAAGAAACTGAACATAATTATTCCTCAGGGATGCAGACTTTTGAAAAGAAACTAAGCTAAATTAATTTGTCAGAGATGCAGTTTTCTGAATTGAAAGGAAACTGAGCCAAATAAAAGATCCGTCAGAGATGCAACCTTTTGAGTTGAAAGGAAACTGAGCTTAATAGGTCCGTCAGAGGTGCAGCATTTGGAATTGAAAAGAAACTGAGCTAAATAGGAAATTTTGAATTGAAAGGGAAGATCTGTGGGAATTCTGATTAATTGATTGTGGGAATTTTGGAAAGAAAACTAACTGAACACTATTTTAAGACGCTACTGTACACAATTTATTTATTTATTTAACAGGTACACCATTGGCTTATCACTAGACATTGTCAAATATAACACAATTGGTTTTGTTAAAAGTGATTCGCCTTTAAAGGTATATACAACATTCACAAAAATAGTGCAGCTACAATAAGACAGTTGTTAACTTACTTAACTAGAACAAGAACATTAATAAATTTACAAGTAATTTGCTTACAATAAAACTAATGCTAAACTTGAAGAAGAGAGAAAGAGTTATAAATACTTATTACATAATCTAGCAAATTTTGATACGTTACCGTATGGAAAATGTCGACGTCTCTGTTGGTGGTTATGTCGTTATACATTTGCATTAACCTATTTATTGGGGCTCGTTTACCTAAATTTGTTCTCTAGTTGGGTAAACAGAAGATTTTGGTAATCGGATGTCTTGGAATAGATCTTGGAACTTTGATACTTAATGATTTCTTATATTTACGCGAACACTACACATTGATTAAAACTACTTTTACGGATTTTATCGCGTTTATTTTACTTTTAATTACTTTTATTTTTAATTCTCGACGTTTTGGGCGCACCCATGGTCGCGGGGGACTGAGATCACTGACGTCCCGATGTCATTGTTAAACCCGGAGTACCTTCAGCTTTTTTAATTATTGTTTATGGTCCGATCTATGCAAAATGAACTGACTATCCCCTGAGGTCTTGCAGTGGTATGCTTGGGTTTAGTTTTAATTTTATTGATTATAGGATCCCAAGCAGGTGGTAGTACCCAGCCTCCTTCTCTATTGAAATTAGGATGTTTTTTAATTTCAATAGCCTCACGTATCATCCTTGGTAGGAATCGGTGTTCTTTCGCGAGAATTTGTGGTCTATCAAATCTGACCATGTGTGCTGGAAAGCGCCCGAAACGTCGGGAATTAAAAATAAAAGTAATTAAAAGTAAAATAAACGCGATAAAATCCGTAAAAGTAGTTTTAATCACTCTGATACCTATTTGATTTAACAGTGCCGGTGATAGTAGGAGGCCGTGAATTAGCTTATAAAGTGTTTTAAAATTGCTAAGTCGACGTCTTTTTTCGAGAGACTCTAAATATATCATATACACAAGTTATATGTTTTCTTTTTCCATTCGGGGAAAGAATGTGGAGATTCTGGGCATTTGACACACGCGAACATGCTACATACAGCTGACCATGAGATAAGCACGGTTTTTCTAAGTTTACCCCCGCTACCTGTAACGTTTGCAGGGAACTACAACCTTTTGATTTGAAAAGGAAGATCTGTGGGAATTATAGGGATCCGTGGTATAATAACATTTTCACCTTTTCCTACGCCTGTCAAAATTGTAGCATTATGTTCCGTCCAAGATGTGTCACACGCAGCCTTGTTCCGTTACATAACCGAGGATCATCTAAAATTCGCATTAGCATGACTGGGACGCCTAATTTTAATTGAAGCTTATGTGAGGGCACACCTGACAACTCTAGAGAATTTAGAAACTCTGCGAGATATGAAGTGCTCTGTTCTGTGTCCATAACTGTGTCTACTGACAAATACTCTGTTATTTCTCCTGCTACTTCGCTAATATATCTGAATTAAAATATTATACGTGGTAGAGCCATGCTGCAGTTATATTAGTAGTATAGTTGTAGCACGAATGGGTCGGCTCGACCGGGGAAGAACCACGCTCTCACAGAATACCAGCGTGAAATAGTAGCTTAATGCTGCTGTATTTCGTATGGTGAGTGTAGAGAACCGGATACCCTTTTTACTGGAAACGAGGCATTCCATCTTAGTCCTCACGGGTGACAACGCATCTGCATTTTGATTCGTAATCGAGGATAGATGTAGATGTCTATGGGCCACAGCAACCACTTACCATCAGGTGGGCTGTGTGCTCGTTTGTCACCCTATCCTATAAAAAAAAATTATTTCATTTTTTGGTGCAAGAATCGCCCTTTCACAAAACCATTTGTCTTCATGCATGTTGTTCGTTAAATCTGAATAAACGCTCGCAATTAATTCGGAATGACTCTGTACTAAATTACAAAAATCTCTCGTCAATTTAACGCAGCCCCCAGCATCCGTTTCCAACCGCCCATCGCCAATTTTTAATAGTGTGTCAGCATAGTTCCCAGCATTGATATCATTATACAAAATGCAACTCTCATATTCGTAGTTAAACTGAATTTTGTCACCTTGTTCCATAAAATAGACGACTTGAGGCATGCTTTAATCTCATCTGCAGGTGTGCCCTTTTGAATGACAGGTAAAGTTTGGCGAAAGTCACCAGCAAGTAAAACCACCATTCCTCCCATTACATCGGTATTGCAGCGCAAATCCTGGAGCGTTCGGTTTAGTGCTCCAACAGCTTTTTTTGCGACATTGTACTTTCGTCCCACACTAAAAGTTTGCATTGCCGTAGCATTATACCTCGTGCACTATTTTTGCTAAAGTTGCAGATCGGCGATTCTTCCTGGGCTAGATTTAGAGGGAGTTTTAAAACAGAAGAAGAACAGTGCAGTGCGGCCCCCGCTTAGCAGCGTGGCGGCTATACCGGAGGAAGCTACGGCCACAGCAATGTTTTTATCTTTCCGTACTTACGCTAATAATAAATTTAACAAAAATGTCTTCCCAGTTCCTCCAGGGGCATCTAAAAAGAAAAGTGCACCATTTCCAGATTCAATTTTTCCTAATACTTTGTTAAAAACTCGTTTTTATTCGGGAATCAAGCGGGATACAAATTCGGCTACTTGCTGCTGCAAAGCTGGTATATCATAGTTTGTTTCACGTCATTTTCGGTTGTTCGCTGAGGGCTTATCATTCCAAAGTCGCTTAATTTTTTGCCTACCATTGCCATTACTTTATCTTCAATTTTTCCAAGTGCTTCATTATAAATGTGTTCATTGTATATCATGTTCGCGTGTGTCTGCTGTAACCTTCGCAAAATATCTTCCGCCATGTACTCTTTATATTTGTCCCACAATTCATGTGCATTAGATAGCCTGCAAGATGATATGAGAGTTGCATAAAGTTCCCTAATTTTGGCTGGTGACTGGCACTGCACAGCTTCCTCCATGGTTTCATCCCAGTGATTATCGTTGTCTAAAAGATGCAGAGCTTCACATGCTTCTCTATAAGTTGCGCATTCCTGATCGTTGACAGTTTTAAGGTCTTTATATCCTGTAGGACCCCGAACATGGTGCAGCAGCAAAAGTAAACAGAAACATTCAAAATTAGTTACATTGACGGTATACACACGACCAAGGTCATCTGATGACTTTATACCGGGCCAATTGCAACAGGCGCGCCTTGATTACGGCGTTTCCACTCCTTCCTAGATGTGTTCCAAGTATAATAGCGGGGGACTTCAGAATATAACAACGTTTTTGCAAAGGTGTCGGTTTGACAAAGTTGAAAGAAGGCTGTTAGTGTAGTTTTTGGCGGTGATGCAATTCTTTCTTGGAAATTTCTTTCGGTGAAATATACACGCTCTCCATTTTCTAAGTGCACAGCAAGGTGAGTAACTGTTGGGTGCCTTTCGAGTAAAGGGAAGCCAAGGAGACGCCATGCTGTCTCGTTACTGCTGACATAACGCCCTGCTTGAAAGGTCTGTACTTCATTAACGGGATTTGCCTCACCTTCACTCCTGAGATTAAATATTGCTTGGTCGCTTCCTTTATTTATGTACTTACAGATATACTTGGTTGCGCGGACAGAGCTACATGCTTCTACATTAATGTGGGCATTAAACATTTTACATAGAATAGGCGAATACGGGATCCAGCTGTTATCTAAGGTTTCGAACGCTCCAGAGCGATATTTGATTGTAACTTTCCTGCCACCATCTTCGGGAGCTCTGCGTCTGTATAAATGGTAGCCATTTTCATTGTGCACTGTTTCTTTTAATAGCTGTTTAGGGAATTTCTTTGTACATTTTCCTTCTTTCATACATGGCGATATTGAATTTCGTGCTCCACATGGACCGTGAATCATATTTCGGATACAATTCTTTATCTTGCTCAGGATCCGGAATCTCGGCGCTTAAGTTGTCTATTTGGCTGGGCCGCAACTTCTCTTTAAGCCATATTAGAAGGTGGGCATGCGGTAATCCTCTTTTTTTGCCATTCAATTGAATACATGAAGCACTGCATCTCTCCGAAAATTTTCCCTTTGTTAATTACATACATTAATTTTTGTACTTTTAATCTAAATACTCTAGCAACTAAATCGTGTCTGTCAGTACTTTTGTGGCCCGGCATTAGCTCCTCGGTTATTTTTTTCCATGTGGGATTGCAAGTAAAAGTAACAAAAAGATCAGGTCTTCCGTAAGTTCGTACATAGGCGAATGCGTCTTGTGTGTACTCATGTAGGTAGCGGGGACTGTTAACGAATGATGAGGGCAGAATTACCATTTTACCTAAACCTCTGGGGTTTACATGCCGTCGCTAGAAACTGCATCTTGTAAATGTATATAATTCTCAACGCGCAGCTTTTTTTGATTTAAAGATATATAACGGAGACGTTCACTTTCTACCTTCACATACATATCTACCAAAAATTGATGAAATAATTGTCTACACCGGGCTAAGAGGTTAAAATCATTTTCTCGCAACATCATATGATACGCATAAAAATCCATACATGATACTTTTTTGTTCGGAGTAGGCTCCTTTGTGACCGAGTTAATGAGTGGAATTTGAAAATGATAACCCTCTTGTCCTTTGCAATAAATCAATGGGTATTGCAGAGCGTCATAAAACTTGTGTGTATCGGCTACCCGTTGCAACGTATCATCACGTGCTCGCAAGACAATGTCTCGTGAAGAAAATTGATCACCACAAATTACGGCTGCTATTTCGTTTATCAAAGGTGCATTGTAGCGCCTTTCATGCTCTCCTCGAGGGGTCCGATCTGCGTGAATGACGACTTTATAATTCTCTTCAGGTAGGTTTTCTAAAGCAGTTTTAAATGTTTTGACTAAAATATTACGTTCATGCAAGAATCTTTGAATTTTGAACACTGTGTCTCTCTCAACTCCCTGGATAAATTGTCAGCGACGGTCTACCTCAATTTCTTCGTCACCCATAAAATATACTTGTAAAAATTTATGCTGTTCGTTTTCAGCTGGAAAAAGTGAACCTATTCTATGATAAATTTGCCCTTGCACCGTAAATGTAGGCGAAAATACCGGCATTATTATTTCCCGGTCAACTCCGAAGGACGTCATTTGAAAGCATGATTTATATTTCCGGATCCTATTTAAAAAGCGCCGTGACTCATCAGCATCATATAAAAAGATTTTTCAAAGGTTCTTCTGGTTCCCCAAGTAACGGAAGAGACACTTTGCCACTGGAACAGCACATGCCTGCGGTCTCATCTTTCCATTTTAAAGCGCTGCAAAATCGACACGCCTTGTCTATCAGTCCGATAACAACTAACCTGTGATTTTTATAATCAATCAACGGATCATAATTGAATGCTGCGTCATTAAAAACCGACCAATTGTTTCTTTGAAAATTTTGTCGACGTTCAGCTTGGAGCTGTGCATTTGCATCTCTTCGCGCCTGTGTCTGTTCTGGTGTTTCAAATGCCCTTATAGTAGATTGACGTTCAGCTTGCTCAATGAGTCTGTGTTGAGTTTCATCAGGTGTTTCCGCTCTTAAGGCGCCCTGACGTTCCGCTTGTTCGAATAGCCTTTGGTGACTTTGAGCAGGTGTTTCAGTAGCTCTTAAAGTAGATTGACGCTCTGCCTGTTCAAGACGCCTTTGCTGACTTTGATCAGGTGTTTCAGTAGCTCTTAAAGTAGCTTGACGCTCTGCCTGTTCAAGACGCCTTTGGTGACTTTGATCAGGTGTTTCAGTAGCTCTTAAAGTATCTTGACGCTCTGCCTGTTCAAGACGCCTTTGGTGACTTTGAGCAGGTGTTTCAGTAGCTCTTAAAGTAGCTTGACGCTCTGCCTGTTCAAGACGCCTTTGGTGACTTTGAGCAGGTGTTTCAGTAGCTCTTAAAGTAGATTGACGCTCTGCCTGTTCAAGACGCCTTTGCTGACTTTGATCAGGTGTTTCAGTAGCTCTTAAAGTAGCTTGACGCTCTGCCTGTTCAAGACGCCTTTGGTGACTTTGAGCAGGTGTTTCAGTAGCTCTTAAAGTAGCTTGACGCTCTGCCTGTTCAAGACGCCTTCGCTGACTTTGAGCAGGTGTTTCAGTAGCTCTTAAAGTAGCTTGACGCTCTGCCTGTTCAAGACGCCTTCGCTAACTTTGAGAAGGTGTTTCAGAAGCTCTTAAAGTAGCTTGACGCTCTGCCTGTTCAAGACGCCTTTCCTGACTTTGAGAAGGTGTTTCGGAAGCTCTTAAAGCAGCCTGACGCTCTGTCTGTTCAAGACGCCTTTGCTAACGTTGGGAAGGTGTCTCAGATGCTCTAAAAGCAGCCTGACGCTCTGCTTGTTCTTGCCTTCTCAGTTCAACATCTTCTAAAGATTCTAGCGATCGAGCTAATCTTTTCGCTTGTCTTTGAGAAGATACTCTTGAAAGGCTGGACTTACGTTTGCGAGGCATTATGAAGTAACAAATAACCTATTTATAAAAAACGTTAAAATACCTAAAAGGAATTAAATTTCCTTTTAAATACTTTTTTTAAAAGCAAATCCAAAATATCTAAAAGGAATAAATATTCCTTTTAATTTTTTTTTAAAATCAAAACAACAAAACCAATTCAAGACACAACACGAATCCGAAAACGATAGCCAAAAAAAAATCGAATCAACTTAAAGCAATTCACAAAAAAAATCGCAGAAAACGGAATTCGAAAGCAGTAATCAATATAAATATAACCAACTAAAAAAGAAGTAAGTGTATAGGTACCGTATACACTATCTATACTATTAATATTCCTTTGAAATATTGTTAAACAACCTAAAACAACGAAAACCAATTCACGATTCTAAATAAACAAAATCCAAAATCAAAGCCAGAGTCTAAATATGTATAAAGGAATACCAACCAAATCAACAAAAGCGATCCAAGAAAATACACAAATCCGAAAATGAAAGCCAATACAAATCCATTCAACCTTAACCAAATCACAAAGCAAATAACAAACAACCGAAATCGAAAGCAGGTAGTCGAATAAGCTACGAAATAGAAACAATAAGTATAGGTACCGTATGCACTATAAGTTGATGCGCGGCTCAACGGCGGGAGTTAAGTACATGTCAAGAAACATTTCGTTACCGCGTTTTAAAAACCTAGTAACGACATCTAGCGGAATCGATTTAAACTATGTATACGTTACATAAGAACTCTTAAAAAATATTTTTCTTATTATTTTGCACAATTTTTCTTATTGTAATACCGATTCATTCATAACCACATATAAGAACTGTATTCATTTCAATGTTCAATAAATATTACTAAGGCTTATTAATAAGGCTTACTAAGAACTGTTTCTACCACAGTTAAGTAATAGGTAAGGGTGAAAGCGTGACAGGTTTGATAGTGTTTTTGATCCATACTTATAATCGCGCCTGTAACCCTTGCGGGGTAGGCAGAGCATCGACGGATTACTTAATATCGTCTGCGAGGTTATCGCCTATTCTGTGAATTACAATGCACCAAGACGTTTGAAGAAAATCAGCTGGTGAATTTTACGTTTTTTATCGCTCTCTTCCCGGTCCTGCGTGGAAAAATACAGATCCATACATTTTTTATCTTAATTTTGGTAAAAAGACATAATAATTCAGATATTCTGACCTGTGTTCGTCCATCGTACCGTCGTCCGTCTCGTAGAATCACGGTGGCGCCACCTAGCTGAATTTAATTTTGCAACATATACGATTTTCCCGCGGGAATGATATGTTTTTCCGCTCAAAAAAGTAACCTATGTCACTCTACAGCCACCGAACTATCCCCATACAAAAAATCATGCATGCCGACGCTCTGTTGCGACGTGAAAGAAGGACAAACAAACAAACAAACACACTTTCGCATTTGTAATATTAGTATGGATAAAACACTACTCGGTAACAAACTTTCTTTATTACTAGAAATCATTCTGGAGGTTAATTGTTAAAATTAATAAGTGTTAGAGCAGGTATTAAACTTGCTCTCTTGCTTACGCAATTAATAATTATCAGTAATAAGACAACGTACTGCACTATACATTCAGTATAGAACAAATATAGATTGACCAACCGTAATATGCCCCTGTCACACACTGATGTAACATGAAGGACATAATTACATGATAACACCAAAGTATGCAAACCAATAGCAGTACTACCCATATAACACAGGGCAGCTACTCAGCAACACGTTCTTCCTTGCCTACACTAGCAGAATACTTCAACGGCCATAGTAACGACACAGACTCGTAGAATTATCAACTGATCCCTCTTAGCTGCCTGCGCGATACTTTATACTGCTAGAAAGGGTGGGACATTACGGTTCTACCTCATTTCACATTCACATTTTCTTTTATTCTTTTACCCTCGTAGCTAACAATATTTTATTTACATATATGTAGATAAGTATACTTTCTGAACTGTTAATGAGCGGGCCATATAACTTGAGAACCAACAACCGATAGGCTAGAGTGGCAGTCTCCTACCTAACCTAACTAGATGGAGTGATCACTTGGTAATAGATGCAGGAAGTTGAGGGATACAGGAGGGACAGGACCATGTTTCATGACACTCTGGGGGAGGCTTATTTTCTGCAGTGGACTTGTTAAAGGCTGTAATGGAAAGAGGAAATGTAAAGCTGTAATGAATCATAAATGAATGAAAAGTATAATGTTAAATTTTTAGTCATATATAATATTTTCACATTGATAAAAAAATATTTTTAAGGTTTTGAACCTGTCAATGTTTTAACTGGCAATAAATATATTCACCCCATGTATACAAGTTGCTTACTTTACGATTTAAAACTAATAAATCTTTGCGGGGGGAACCTATGTTAAGCAGTGGACTTGTGAAAGGTTGTAATGATGATGATGATGAATGATAGACTTTTAGTAAAACTTGAAGTAGCTGCCTTCTGTCTATTGTACAAGTGCAATAAGTTCGCCATATTTGGACTAGACTATACAAAATTATCATAGACATTTTCATTTATTTACAGATTACTTTAAATGTTGACATAAATGACTATGCATCGAGAAGAATAAATGTAAATCTGCCTTTATTTGGCAGACAAATTGTAAAGCAGGAGACGGAAACCAACAGTTTGTACTACGAGCTTATATTGACCGATATGAATGTATTGCACCAAGCGTACTTGCTGTACGTAGAGCCGACACCAAGTTGCCAGGCAAATCATTATCACGTGTCTGCAGAGATGCACGTCCCTTGGGCTAAAAATAACGAATACTACCATTATTTCACGTACGTATACATTTTTAACAATAATAATGATAATAATAGTCTTGACGATTTCCGTCATGACCACAATTTTTAAATACTTTTGAAAGCTACCAACTGCACATTTATATTATATGCATAATAGTATAGAAACTTACTCACCCGTGCTTTGCATGGTCGCGATCTAACATTGGGTATTTTACGAATTGATCATAAAACGCCATTATTTATCTGCTATCCCTACATAAAATTCGCATGGATTGTTCAATAAAACCTTGTTTAAGTAATTCTTTAAACTATAGTGAGAAACGCATCAAAATCTACTAAGTAGTGTTAAAGTTGTAAGCACAGATGCGTATAAACAACATTGTTTTATTAACAGTGTCATTAACTTGTTCTAACTTATCACTTAATCTATGTAATGCTTATGTTTTAACCTTTCATCGCCCTAGCGGTCTCATGAGACCGCGGCTATATTCCGTCAAATCCCTAGTGGTCTCATGAAGTCGCACCCACCCACAGCACTTTAACACATAGAGAGATTACTTTTCTATGAAGAAATTTAGCATTATATAATCAATATGAAATACTCTATCCTCTAGTGCAATAAAAAAACTGTTATCCTATGAATATTTATTTATAATCTACGTTTATTTCGTATTTTCCATTTTCCATGATTCGCCATTTTCGCGTGAATGTTTTGATTTGTGTTGATTTTTGGATTTTTCTAGTGTTTTATTTATTACATTGTTTTATTATAAAATTGTAATGAAAGTTTTTGTGTGAATATAACTTATCTTTTTACGTAAATAATTTCGAGTAATATATATTGAAATAATTGTGATGTTCACGCTGCCGACATTCGCTTGGTATGTTTTTTTTTTGTTATCAAAATACAATAAAATCTTTTTGTAATGAAGTAAAACCTGACTTTAGTTTAGACCACAAGATAGAGAATTTTGTATGGATTTTATAATGTTAAACTTCTTCTTAGAAAAGCAGTCTCTAAATATAAGTTTTAATGGTTTTAAGTGCTGTGGGTAGGTGCGTTCGTATGCGACCTTTCGGGATTTGCCGGGCGCATGTGACTGCATGGGATGACATTTCACAAAAATTTTTGGATTTTGTATATGGTTGAGTTTTGATTATCATTGTGTTTCTGACATTGCATTCAAGTGTCCAAGACATGTCACCGACATCGTCATTGCCGTTATATATTTGTCATTTGGATAAGTTGTAACCAATAAGTACCACTTAGTTTATGTGACACCACTATATACTAAACAACATTATGGCATTGTTATAGTGTTCGGAAGTTGTTGTCATGATCAAATTCAAAAGAGAGTGGTGCCTTTTAATATTTTAAAATTTTAATATAATTACGCCTAATTTCAGCCATTTAAAGCGAACTCCAATGAAGTTACGTCTGTTTAAAAGTAACCCGAATGTCACATTAGGAATGGAAGCCTTGGAGACGGTCAAGGTTACTTTGTTATTGGATCCTAAATGTACGTTTACTATAAGGTAAGTATACAGTTCACATTATGTGAAAGATTATATAGTTTATGTATGAAATTAAATCACGCAAAAGTGTTAACCAGCCAACTCGGATGGGCGTCGTTCGAAATATCACACATCTTCTCGTCCACGGATACCTCAAAACTTGAAAACAAATGTGTATAACAAACGCGTGTTGCCAGTGATAATAAATGGATCTGCAACATAGTTCTTCACTGTTAGCCATATGAAGAATTCTGTGAAAATTAACTGCGTCATTTCAATTTTTCTTTCAGTATCTCTACATCATGGTACCATCGGCTAGCGCAAATCGCCCGGAACTACACACCGGTTCTATTTCCATTTGTGGCGGCTATAGTTCTGCTGGCAGTAAGAAGTAGTATCATACATTTAAAAGACCATGGGACATGCCTCTCCATACACGGTGCCTTGATGAGTGAATCAGTGAAGCCGTACTATGCCCTTGTTTTTGCTAGACTAGGTGCTATGGTTTTACTGTAAGTATGTTTATAACAAAAAAATCAATTAAATATATTTGTGTTGTCCTACAGTCCATCTAATGGTCAGTGGATACTGTAGCTCATAAACACCTGCAACTAACTACAAAGAGGGCTACTGATGCATTGTTACCTCTGAGGACTAAGATGGAATGCTTCTTAGTCTGCATTTATGGTATATACTGGCCCTTTGTACTATTCAGACGGGAAAAGTAGTAGCACGCACTGCTGTATAGCAACAGAAATAGATGAGAAAACGAAAAGGAGTTCTAACAACTAATAAATTTTCAGTTTTGAGTAACTGAGGTTTACTCAATTACAACACAAGCATAATACTAGTTGAATGCCTGTTCATTGTGTAGTAGTGGTGTAAGAATACCCACTACCCCACATCATATAATATCGTGAGTGTCGTAAGAGCTGACAGAGGAAAACAACCAGGAGAAAGTCAGCACCGTTTTCCTAATAACTTCTTAAGGGGAAATATTAAAAATACTACCACAAATGGCTTAGCAAGCTCCTCCGTTATGCCGAAAATATTGCAGCATTAATTTTAAAATAAATATATGGTGAAGTTGATGATTAATGTTAAATACTATGTTAGACAAAAACACGATTCCGTTAAATTTTCTCGATAGAAAAAAATCCAAAGTTACCTACAAACTTAACAATAAACCGCTGTTATTCATAAAATACTTTAAATTTGATCATGAAACTTTGCATACTAACTGAACTAACTATAAAAGTGCTTATGTTTTTTATATATTTTTAAATTACCATTATTTAACTGTAAAAAGAATTTACCTAAACTATCGGCATCTTGAAACTTGTTTCCTGCTGACCGGTCAGTCTCGCTTCGGCCTTTGAAGGAGGAAGCTGTGTCATTTACGATCAGAATACACATTACGCAACAGGACGACGTATAATTAAAATGAAATGGGTTGGCGTAAATAAACAGGCATAAATAATATAAACCTAACGAAAAAGTATCTAACGATCTATCTACTTACAGTATTAGTGATTACAAACTTGTCGGTACATAGCATACGACGCGCGGGGAAGTAAGGGCGAAATTAAAATTTGAGCTGAGTTACTATATCCCCTTAAAAATAAAAAAAAACCTGTAGTTGGCAACGTACGTGTTAAGTGTGGCAACTATGGAAAATACGGGACGTATTGCCATGAGTCAATTTATGGGGGAGGCCTATGTTCTGCAGTAGACTTTGATAGGCTATTAATGAATGCCTATTAGTTAAGTTAAAAAAGTTAAAGTTAAATCTTATATATTTCCCACTCCTGGGCACAGGACTCCGCTCATTTCTGAGAGGGTTTTAGGGCAAGAATTGTCCTTCGCGCAGCCCCAATGCGTGTTGGCGAACTTAACATGTCTTCGAAATATTTTTTTCTTATTTCAGACATGCAGGTTTCCTCACGGTGTTTTCCTTCACCGCTGAGCACGTCGTAAATCAGCACTTAACAATTTCATTAGTGCCGGCGGGGATCGAACCCGGTTTGCTGGGTGTGAAATTTACAGCGAGCGCTAATTATGATATCATTATCATATTTCCCATCCCTGCTGAAATTAATACTTATGTAATATACTCGTGATGTATGATTGTATAAATTGATTTGTAACTTTGAATAAAGCATGTTCCTTAATGATTTCTTAAATTTACGCGAACACTACAAATTGAATATAACTAAATTTACGGAATTTTATCGCGTTTATTTCACTACTTTTACTTATTTTTAATTCCCTACGTTTCGGGTGCTTTACAGCACCCATGGTCCGGGGGGGGAGGACTGAGATGTTTGACGTCCCAATGTCATAGTTAGTCCGGCTACCTTCAGTTTTTGAACATTAATTTTTGGTCCGATTTACGCAAAACGAGCTTATAGTATCTTGAAGTCTTGCAGTGGTATGCTTATGTTTGGGTTTAATTTTGTTAATTATAGGATTCCAAGCAGGTGGCAGCACCCATCCATCTTCTCTATTGAAATTTGGATGTTTTTTTAATTTCAATAGCCTCGCGTATCATCCTTGGTAGGAATCGGTGTTCTTTTGCGAGGATTTGTGGTTTATCAAATCGAATGTAATGGTGGGGACGATCTTGAACATGTTGACGAACTATGAAATTGGGACGTCAAACATCTCAGGCCCCCCCCCCCGTGACCATGGGTGCTGTAAAGCACCCGAAACGTCGGGAATTAAAAATAAGTAAAAGTAGAGAAATAAACGCGATAAAATCCGTAAATTTAGTTTTCTTCAAAGCATGTTTCTTTCATTTTTTCTAGGATAACCAAAAAGTATTAGGTTGCATTTAATTTAATACGAATGCCTAACGACTTAGCCGCTTATGTTTATTAACAAGTAAAATATTATGTATTTATGTGTATGTACAAGTAAACTCTATTCCAGATCGGTGCCATTCTTAGAATTTTTGTTTGAAAATGCAAGTTGGAAGAATCTGGAACTGCATTACTTTATCCGGTCACTGTTAGTTTTGCCAATGTATATGACTGCATTGGGAATCGTGAACGTCGCAGCGGCGGCCATTTTGGCTGTTATGGTGTTTTGGTCACAGTTGGCTCATAGGTTGTTATTCAGGTAGGTTTTTATTTTTACCTAATATCTTTATATGTATAATAAGTTTATGTTGAGATTTAATTTGCTTCTGCTCATCACCTGGTTTGTTTACCGCTTTCACCTACTACAAAACTCCCGGGATGATATAGGGTAGTAAATATTCTCATGTCTCCATTACATTTTATACGTGGTAGAGCCATGCTGCAGTTATATTAGTAGTATAGTTGTAGCACGAATGGGTCGGCTCGACCGGGGAAGGACCACGCTCTCACAGAATACCAGTGTGAAATAGAAGCTTAATGAAATTGAAAAAATTTAAATTTAAAAAAAAAATGCTGCTGTATTTCGTACGGTGAGTGTAGAGAACCGGAGACCCTTTTTACTGGAAACGAGGCATTCCATCTTAGTCCTCACGGGTGACAACGCATCTGCATTTTGATTCGTAATCGAAGATAGATGTAGACGTCTATGGGCCACAGCAACCACTTACCATCAGGTGGACTGTGTGCTCGTTTGTCACCCTATCCTATAAAAAAACACGGTTAATAATTTTTTTAATAGAATATTTATTTATAAATATTTTTACGTGGTAGAGCCATGCTGCAACAACATTATGGTTGTAGTACGAATGGAACAACCCAAGTGGGGAAGCAACACGCTCCTAGAAAATAGCAGCATAATGCTGCTGTGTTTCGTATTATAGTTTTCAGGAGTGACAACGCATCTGTATCTTGATTCTTAATTTAGGATAGATGTGGGTGTCTATGGGCCGAAGCATCCACTGACCATCAGGTGGACTGTGTGCTCGTTTGTCATCTATTATTATTATATTTAAAAAAAATTGCCATTCGTAGGTCTGCACTTCAGAAGTGAAAACTTCTTAGCTTCAAAATGAATATTTTTTAGGAAGTGTTTGTTATTAGAAATTATTTTTATCAACGTCATAAAATTAATATAGTCATAAAAATTTCATTTATTGCGCTGTTTTACAAGAAAAATAATGATTATTACCTAAATATAATAACAAATTTATAAATACATATCAATTTTATGTATCTGAGGCGTGACGCCCATGCGAGTTCAATGCTTTTTCTCTATCCCAAAAGTGCCTAACGTGCCTAAAGAAGTGTTTATTGCAAAAATATGAGTTTATTGTAGGATAGTGTGGCGAGGGGGCAGTAGTATCGCGGAGAAGATGGCGTCCGGCCTGCAGAAGGTGCCGATGGCGGTGAGCGCGGCGCTCGTGTGCACGGCGCCCGTGTCCTGCGGCGCCGCTTCGCTCGCCGCCGGTGCTGCCTTCTACGCATTCATGGTGAGAGCTCGTTCCTAACTGTCGCATGTCAGATCTGTCTTTTATTTTTATATATTTATTTATTTAATCTTTATTATACACCTTATATACTAAGGGATATAAAGGGTGGACTTAATGCCTTATGGCATTTTCTGCCAGTCAACCCTGGATGATTTGAGAAACTGTGGCAGGTGTAATCAATCACTTCATAAATAAATAATAAGGATATAAAACAAAATAAATCGCAAATGAATAGAATAGATATATAGTTAGTAAAATATACATACTTACTTAATATATAATATAGGATGAATAATAAATATATAAACGGGTACTTCTATACAAAACTATAAGTAAATAAAATATTATGAGACAAAAATAAAATAACACAATACGTATTAAAATACATTATACAAAATATTACTACTAAACAAAAATAGTCGGATAGTCAGGTGGAATTCTGAATTATTATTCTTACGACAGAACTCTCGAACTAGTATTTTAAAATAATTCTTGTTATTAGTGTTCTTGATATAAACAGGCAAGGCATTCCAGAGCAGTATAGACTGCACAGTAAAAGAGGAATTATAGAAACCACTCCTATGTGGTGGAATACGAATTTTAAGACAATTTTGGGAACGGGGAACTCTATCATTAGTAGAATATTTTATATTATTATTCGGTATATGAAAACCTCACACTAATCACATAGCTTATTTTGTAGCTAACCCATTTAATACTCTTTCAAACAAAACTTTAAATCATATTTTTCACGCTTTGAAAACAGCCATACATAAACGATAATGATCCTTTATAATGATAATGAATGAAAACGTCTTTTCAAAGTACACTATGAGTTCGAAAATGCATTAAACAAAGAAAATGTTCAGGAAGAATATTTGCCAAAAGTGGTTGACAAGATATCCATCCTATACCTTTAAACGAGTAATTCTTGTATATATATATATATATATATATATATATATATATATATAAAAAAAAATAAAAAAAAAAAAATTGGAATCTCGGAAACGGCTCCAACGATTTTCATAAAATTTAGTGTCCAGGGAGTTACGGGGCAATAAATCGATCTAGCTAGGATTTATTATTAGAAAATGCCTTTTTGTCCGTGTTTTCAGGCAATGAAAAACCGCTACAATATAAGAAGGTAAATTTTGACACTGTGTTAATGATCGTAATAGCTAAAGTGAAAATTGAGCGGTCGCGTAATCGTAATGCCTCGGTTCGCGTCCTGTCTTCGGTCCGACTTTTTTTCCTTTTTTTTTTTAAGTTTCCCTTCTTTTGTGAGAAAATCTATTATTTCGAGCCCTTTTTTAATATTTTTTAAAAATACGAAAATTTTAACTAAACTAATTGCACTCGTAATTTTTTATTCAAATAACCAGTTCAGTTTTTTCTATTATGTCAATAAGATCAAAAAATATTATTCATGTTTCATCAGTATGTAATATGTATCTAAATGTAATTTCAAAAACAAAACCGAGCAAAGCTCGGTCATCCAGGTACTAAAATATAATAATTCATAAATTAATTCCATTTTCTGTGTAATAAAATCAAACTTTATTTCAGATTTTTTTAATGGAATATCTCTAGTTAGCAAACACCGAGCAATTGTGCATATTGCTCATATTAGTATACCACTCCATTTCAGACTATAAAAGTCCACCGCTAAACACAGGCCTCCCCCATTGATTACCATATTATTAGTAGTCAGTAGGTATTATGTACAAACCGAGTAGTAATAAATATAAGTATATCCATTACCCCATATCATCTCATGGGTTTCGTAAGAGGCGACAGAGGGAAACTGAAAAGGGTAATTGTCAGCATCTGTCTTATAGAATCGAATTGAATAGAATATTTTTTTATTCAATATAGATTACAAGTAATTGCTATTGAAAGAAAAATTCTCGCTATTAGGCAATCTATGAAGGATGCCTATGTTTAGCAGTGAAATTTTATAGGCTGTAATGTATACAATATGTAACGTAATTAACGCACACCCTCAGACACCCCAATTAGTATATTATGCTATAATCATAATACATACACTGAAATTTTAGTTAAACATTTTTATGCACTGATTATTTATCAAATTAGTTATACTAATTCCGGAAGAATGTTGTGGTCACAGTACAAATCCACGAAAGCAGACTTTAATGTGCTTGAAATAAAGTTCATTTTTTCTTTATTTTTATTGAATGACAGAATTAGTAATAATACAAATAAAACTGCACTCTTAAAAGTTTTATTACCTTAAGTTACGGTCCATTTCAGATTGTTTTGACTGTACAGATTTAGTATGACTGTAATTTACGTAGTTTTAATTATTTTTGGGATAAAAAATTACCTATATTAAAAATGATAGGAATCGATTCAGTAAACGATTCTGAACACACTACTTACTCAAAGTGCGTTAATTATGTTACGTGTTGTATATGTAAGTATTGTGTCGTAAAATATAGACTGTAGGAATTGCTAGACAGGTCTTATTGGGCGAGCTTCCGATAGATAGCGATATAACAATCTTGTATATATGCCCGATATAAAATACTCAGCGTGAGAACACCGCGTCAAAGCCGCAAGATATTCGGTACTGTGGTCGTCTGCTAAGCCTATATAGCGATAACGGCTTCTTTTTCTATGAGAGATATCAAATAATTCCAGCAGTGGTTGATTATGGGCTTAGAAGAAACAGAAATTTGAAAAACATAATAAAGTGAACTTACCTTCTGTCAAAACCGTAGGTACGCCTCTGGAAAAAAATACATAAAGAAGAACTTTTGACGCTATATAACTACTTCGCAGATAAAAAATACAATTTGATTACTTTCATTACGAATTTTGTTTCGATTTTAAAAGTAAGATAAGCAAAATAATAACAGACTGTGAGACATTTTCCTTCGTCCTTTAGGGCTACCAGCGCGTCTTTATTCTTTTTTGCTTGATGAAAACTTTATCTTACCTTGCCATCAGGTGAACTGTTACTTATTTGTGAGTCTTATACCTATATACTCAAATGTTATTCGATTTTAAGACGTTGTTAAGTCTTGCGCTGTCTCTATTACTTTAAGTCTACGTGACTGTAACACCGCGAGACTTACATCTTAAAATTGAATAGCGTTAGATTATTTAGCCATAAAATTATTAGAAGTCCATATCTAGTAGTGGATGTTACAGGTGATAAAGTAAGAAAGAAATAACGGAAAATGATGATAAGAATTATATTTTACAGCTGTCCAAAATGTACGAGGACTACCTTGAAGATTATGTATACAAACTGATGGCTAAACTAGGAAGTAAAATTTGTCGACTGTTCAAATCAAGAAATATGGAAGAGAATACATCTAATACTGATCTCGTACCTTGCAACTCATCACAAGAACCTACTACAGAAAAACTCATAGTAGCAGATATAAAAAAAGATAATAGTTTAGATATAGTTGAAAAGAAAGATAATAGTTTGGATCTAGTTAAAAGTTCGAAAGTAAGTAAAGAAAAACCGTCCGAAAATTCTAACACGGACGTTAGCGTAAGTCAGTCCACCAGCGACCTAAAAAAAGAATCCCAAAAAGCCAAGCGGAAATGCAATGAAAGAGGGAGAAGAGATGACGAGAGTAAAAACAGTATTGATCAAGATTTAAATAATTTAAATTTCCACATGATGCTGTTCTTTTTATGGTTGATAGTAACTGCTGTAAATATACCCGCTCTGTTAACATGGGCCAGAAATTTCAAGTGAGTAGTTAAGTTAATTTTAAAAGGATCTATTAAGAGGGCGTTCAAAAAAAAAGTAAAAATTTGGAATTTAAAAAAGGCTTAAAATAATGGCTTGGAAAAGCTGGAATATTACATTCAGATACCTAAAAAGTGATTAGGTTTCTTTTTTATAGAACTCATTTGTATGCGGTTTGTTGTGGCGTGTTGCCTAAAATGGAAAAAATTAACTGCAATACAAGTCATTTTGTTCATGTTAGAACCATGCTGTAGTTATATTATAGTTGTAGTACGAATGAGTCCGCTCGACTGGGAAAGGACCACGCCCTCAAAGTGCGCCGATTTTATACATGGAAGAACATCCAATCAAAGATGACCCTCCGTGATTTCGAGAGATAGCGTGCATAATTTTTTACATTAACGCTTAGGGATGAAAAATGTATCCAAGACAATGCATAGAAACAATCCAGAATGAAGATATCCTGAGGTTTCGATTTGATGATTTTTGGAATTTTCTCTACATAATCCTTATCGTTTATTGGCTTGATTTATAATAATGGGTAAATATCTCTAAGACTTGGAGATAATCATTTCCAACTCTTAAGAAATTTAAGGCGAGTCCTTCCGCTGGTAATATATTAGATTTTCTTTTTTGGAATAGTCAAGAGGTAGTAATGATTGAATATCTAGATCATGGGCAGTTTGAATAAAAAAAAATATATAAAATTGAGTAACTTGCTGATTGTTTTTTTTTTTCACAAAGATCACGCTCCGTGTCACAGTTTGCCGTTGCCATGGTTGCAATTTAAGATCTTTGCTTAGAAATACATGAGAATCCTTATATTCATTAGACCTTGATTAAAAGAGGTTCAGAGAAGACGGTTGTTTAAGATGATGTAGCAGCAATTGCTACAGTACAAACCTACAAATTCATTTGTGCGCAAGATGAAGAGTTCTTTAAGAAAGGAATTTTATATTTAGAAAAAGACACTCAAAAAATAAAAATTTGCTGTAACATATTTATAGTTATTTCTCGCTTTTTATTGAACACTTCTCGTAAATTCAATTATTACTTAATAAATCATATTATTTACTATTATAATAGTTTTATATTTTACTAAATGTCAAATTCGCAACATTTATGAAACGAAAAAAATATTTATTGCAGGTACAGTATGGTGCTAAAATCTGATACTTCTTACCATACAGGTCTTGTGATGTCAGTATGTTCAGCTTTTGTTTGGCAAATGGATGGACCACGGCAAAAATTGTAAGCAGCAAATTACCATACAATTAAATTATTACCTTCTTTTCCTCTTTATTTAAAATATACTCAGTTAATTTTCTCACAGGCCTCCTCTCATGTCTAATAAATAAGTGATAATTCACCGCGCTGCTGTAGTACAAGTTGACGGACTCTCACATGTCCTCGAAATATTGCATAATGTGACCATCACAATGTATATAATTGATGTAAAATTAACTGTATGATTTCGAATATAGTTTTGGGTATAGAATGTGAATATTAAAATAATTATTTTAACCTTATTGGTTACAAGACTCTAAAAATAATCAATATTATTTATGGTATGTTGACATAAGACTTACTGTGTATGTCTGCTATATAAAGTATGACTACAAAAAATACAAGGGATATCTCTGTTTTGGCCTACAAAGAAGCCATCTCGAATATAAGGCTGATGATGATAAAATAAACATTGCATAATAACAAACAAATTACTTGTTAGGGATTTTGGTGTCCTGTTTTGGTTATCATCAAAATTTAATAAAATAATATACTGCTCTCGAAATATTTATCACGAAAAGTTCTTAAATACTTTTTACTAATTTCTTTTATTCCATTATAAAAATTAATAATTAGATAGAATTATGAATAAATTCTACATTGGTTTTTTTTTCAGGAGATATTACGAAGCGCTATCTTCATTAATTTTTACAATGGCTTTATTTGTACTAGTCTTAGGCATATTTTCATTGTTTATTGTAAACTATGGTGTGACTCTGATATTTGCTTTAATAACAATGCAGCAGTTGTGGGATTATGAGGAAAAATCTAATGACGAAACTAATGATGTAGCTAATGATGATACAAATGATGCTCAAAATGAAAAAGTTGTTGAAGAAAGCCATTGTCAACAGAAAGAAAATAACTCACAATCTCAAAGTGATTTATCTAATGAAACACCTCAAAGTAGAGAATGTAAAGATGAGACAGATAAAACTAAGCAAGAGATAAGAGACCAAACAATAGAAGACTGTAACGTCTGTAGTGAAAATAGGATATACAATATTTTTAAACATCTCAGAGATAAATTTAGCTTTAATAATAATGATGTCCCATAATTGTGCTAATTTCATTTTATAATGTTTGTTTATTCTTTTACCTTACCCTTTGACTCGGATTCACAAGAACAATTCACCTGTGTTCAAGCGATTTTCAGTTTGATTATAATTACATATTTGAGATTATTTTAATGTAATACACAAATATATTTTACAAATTGTACTTAACATTTTCATTTAAAACACCTTTAGTTCTGTTATCTAAATAACAAATCTTAACTTGCAACTCTGTACAGTGAAAGGTATAATGGATTTATACCAAAGTAAAAAGTATCAACCTATAAATCTTTCCCATGGAATGCAAGAGAAAGCAAAATGCATTTTAGCAGGCTTCACATATCCTGAAAATATTTAATTAGACCTGTAGGAATGCTCAACATGTTTTACTTAACCAAGTTACAAGTGGATCAGCATATTATGTTATTCTTCTTCAGTGATACATATTTCATTGGTGCTGATACGAGGAATATATCTCATATAGCTTGCATTTTACGAAAATTAACGTAAGCGCCCAAAATACCTTAACGATACCATTAATCTCTTCCAATATCGTAAAATAACATTAATTAAAAAGAATAATGCACAATTAATTCATAGTGAACTTCTTTATAAATGGGTGTTGAAAGATAATGTCACTTTTCATCATATTTATTTATTTATTACCTGTCAGCCTTAACCCTTACTTATACTTACTTGATGAGGCAAACTGCCTTAGGCTTGACTTGGATAACTCATTGTCTATACTATGCATATATCGCTCTCCCTCATTTCACAACTTAAACGGCTTTCTACAATCTTTGGACAGTACACTTCACAGCTTACAGGATAGGTTTTGTGTAATGGTGGCGGGTGACTTAAATATCAATCTGTTAGCTAACGACACTGATTTGCAGTTATCTGATTACTTATGCCTAATGGCTTCCCACGGGTTGTTGTCAGCCATTTCAGAGCCTACTAGGGGAGATACATGCTTGGACCACATTTTCATTAAATGCAAACAAGTTATCTCAGCAGCTGTATGCAAATGCTCCTTGAATCACTATATGCCTATAGTAGGTGTGAGCTTTGCTGAAAATAAACCTAAATCGAAAAACAGGTACAGAAATATTGTTGATATCGTTGCAATTAATTTGGACCTTTGCGGTATGAACTGGTCGACAATAACTGGTTGTGAAGACCAAAATGCCACAAACGAGGTAACTTTTAATTTTGACCAGATTATACAATCAGCTGTAGGCAAACATACTAGTAAAGTAAAATTGAGTCGCACTAAATACAACATCAAACCCTGGATTACTCCCGGGCTAATGAAATGTATGCGAATTTGCATAGTCAGGTCCGTGCGAACCCCAATGACGTCGTGCTTAATCTGACCTACAAACGATATCGCAACTATTGTAATGACCTGCTGCACCGACTCAAGGCTGAGCACGAGAATGGAGAGCTAAAAAACCATAAGCGGAATCCTAAAAAAGCTTTGGCAGGCAATAAGAAACGTTTGCGAGGTCCCCCAAAGGAGTAAAGATTCTGAGGAACTTTTGAAAAGTGATGTTGACATCAAGTCTTCATAAAATTTCTGTAATAGTCATTTTGTCTCCTCCGGTCGAAAATTGGCTGATCAAATCCTGTCTAAGATTTCAACCTCAGAGGTCAAATTGAGTGCTTCCGTTGGGACTCCCAATCCTCTGCTTGACTCTTTTTTCTTTAAACCAACTGACTCATTGGAAATCAAGAGGCTGATTGAGGGTTTACGTAATGATAGTGCGCCGGGGGTTGACGGATGTACCTCTCTTCTTATTAAATCTATTAAAGAGTCAATTTTGATTCCTCTTACTCATATTTTCAACCTTAGTCTTAGTAAGGGCGTATTTCCTGACAGATGGAAGTGTGCGGTAGTAAGTCCGATTTACAAAGCTGGACCAAAGAATAATCCGGATAATTACAGGCCTATATCGCTCCTAACAATCTTCTCAAAGCTTCTTGAGAAATATAATCTAATAATCGAGAAGTTGAAGCTAGTTTCTGATAGACAGTTTGGGTTTAGTGTAGGATGCTATTAATCTGCTGATAAATCAAATTTCATCGAAGGTGGATAATGGTAAATGCAGTCTTGGTATTTTTCTGGACCTTTCTAAAGCCTTTGACACCGTGTCTAGACAAATATTGTTGAAGAAGCTCGAAGGTTTTGGAATCCGCGGTACCTACTGCTAGGAATTGGTTTCAAAGCTATCTCACTAATCGATACCAAAGCGTGCAAATAGGGCCTGATCACATTAGTTCCCAGCTTCAGGTGACCTTCGGCGTGCCCCAGGGCAGTATTCTCGGGCCGACCCTCTTTATTCTATATATGAATGACCTTCTAGAACTCAAAATACCTCAGTGTGAAACAATTTGTTACGCACATGACACCGTTGTCTTATTTCATGGTCGATCCTGGAAAGAAGTAAGAAAGCTGGCCGAGAACGGTATGGGTCAAGTGGCTGGGTGGCTGAATCGTAATTTGTTGACACTTAAATGCGAAAAAATCCAAATACATGTGTTTCCACAAAACTTGTGCATCGAATCCGTTGATGCAGAACGACATTCCAGTCCATACTTATGACATTCTGCAACATTGTGACTGTGAGGGTATTGCGAGAGTGGAGACGATCAGGTACTTGTTGTTGTTGACCACAATCTTTCCTTCAAACAGCATATCTCATACCTCTCAAATCGAGTCAAGAGGGTTATTTACATAATGAAGTTGCTCAGGAACTGTGCTGATAAAAAGACACTTCGTATGGTTTATTTTGCCCTCTGCCAATCCATAATACAATTTTGTATATCAGCTTGGGGTGGTGCCTCCAAAACCACGATGTTGCAGTTGGAGAGGGCACAGAGAGCAGTTCTCAAGGTCATGTATAAAAAGCCCTACCGGTACCCTACGTCCGATCTTTATCGGGATAGCGAGGTTTTGAGTGTACGCCAGTTGTATATTCTATCCGCAGTTTTAAAAACCCACGGGCAAGTAATTCAGTCGCCTATTTACGACAACCTAATCACTAAACGAATATTTAAAATCCCAATTCCGGCTGCCAGGTCTGTTTTTGTGCAACGTCTTCCACAGTTCTCACATCGTCATATTTATAACAAAATACTTAAAGTCTGTGACATCAAAAATTGCACCACTTTGAAAGCTAAGCATATAGTAAAAAGATATCTCACCACACTAAATTATAATGATACCGAAAACTTAATATTAAAGCAAAAATAATACCAAATTATATCTACGTTTCACACTAAAATATTGTATTCATATTTTTCCTAGGATAAAAAATAAATATTAATGTAAGCGACAAATAGTTAAAAACTATCTTCCTAAATTAAGTAATAATTTGTTGTTCTGCATAATTTTGGGTACCTTTAATTACGTAAGTAAAACTGATAACCGTACTCCTGGTCCCCAAGATACAGGCTATGCCTAGTTTGTGGCCCGCCAGTACCTTTTATTATATGTAATAAGAATTTATATGTAATTAGTATTTAATTTAATATAAGTTAAAATTAATTTAATATAAATCACTTTTTTCCCAATGTTCAGGTCTGTAGCTCTATTTCTAGGAATAAATGATTTTTATTTATTTATTTATAAAAGAACTATGACAAACAAGTAAGTAATCAGTAATTCACCTTATGATGCAATTAACTTGCAGAAAACTACAGGTGAAGATGAAATGCCTTGGAGACTTTTTTCCTATCAGTGGGGAGAGGGTACTCCTGAGTTTTAAGATTTCAGGATTGTGAAGGGACTAAGTAGCAGAAAAAGGACGTTTTTTCGGAGGAAGTGAGAGATACAAGTGTCGTGCCTTTTTTGCTTAAAATTTATTGTTTTATTAAGTGTTGTTGATTTACCACAGTAAATTTTTCTGTCTTGGTGGAGGTTTTAATATCTGTAAATTAGTAAGTGTTTGTAGTTGTGCCGTTTTTATGTAATTTTTTGTTGTAGTAATATAATGGAGGACGAACCTCCCGATCCCGGAAGGGTTCGCAATGATTCCTTTTCCTTACCCACTAACATTGATAATGTAGAATTAATTAACCGTAAACGTGCCCAAGTAAGTAACGAGTCTGCCCATCCACAAAAAATAGTTATTACTGATCCAAATCAACAGTTTCCTTCAATACAATCCTCATATACCCATCCTGATTTTATTAATAAAAAAAGTTAAGTACTCTCAAGATGATGCCGCTCCTTTTCTAGTTCACGTAAGTAAAATCTCAAATGATCAGCTGTCTGGAGTAACTCTTAAACCAATTAAATTCGGCCACTTTCTGTATCATAACAATATTAAAAATATAGTCCATGATGGAGTCAAAAAAGTTGGACGAAATAGAATATCCGTGGAGTTTAAATCAGCTGCAGATGCAAACACCTTTATCGATCACCCAGCTCTCCAGATTTCTAAATATGAAGCAACCATCCCCTCATATAGTATCACTTGTATGGGGCTAGTTAGACAAGTTCCCATAGAGTGGACACTAGAAGAATTAATAGCAGCTTTAGAAATTCCCTCTGGATACGGTTCTATAATTAAAGCACGGCGACTTAATAGACGATCAGTGAGTACGTGAGACGGTTGTTCTAACTTTTTCTGGACAAAAACTTCCTCCCCATATTTACTGTTTTTACACCTCAATGCCAGTGGAAAAATATGTTTTGCCACTAATTCAGTGTCATAAATGCTGTAGATATGGCCATGTTACTTCCCAGTGCCGATCATCTCCTCGCTGCTTTGTATGTGCACAGAATCATGAAGGTTTATCTTGTACTCGACAAACTCCTACTTGCCTATTCTGCTCTGGTCCCCACACCGCAAAAGACCCTACATGTCCTGAACATCTAAGGCAAAAATCTATTAAACTTGTCACAAGAAAATATTTCATATTTAGAAGCTTCAGCTAGATTCCCTCAGACAAAAAGATCCTTTGCTGATACAACACGAATCCAGCCTCGTAATTGT